GTCGGAATTGTCTTTGATGGAGGCGTGGGACAACTATTTATGCTTGTAATACTTCCTCAGCTATTTATATACCAACTCAGTAGGTACGTCATCTTGTAGACAACCAGATGTTACTTGCAACTTCGTTTGTTGTTTCAACCGACTACAAAAACAAAAGGTTCTCAATGTGACTATTTTTTGTGTTTTTTTTTATTATTATTAGGATTTAGCTATCGCTTGATGCTTAGACCTGAAGTGATTTATTGTGCTCTCCCTTTTTTAGTGTTTGCTATGTAGGCCCATCAAGGACAAGAATTAAAGGATAGTCTTCAGATTTTCATAATTCTTTTTACTTTATCTGAAAGCTAAAACTCCTCTTGTGTATCATAAAAGTTTGTACAAGTCTGACCAGTAATTTATATATAATATGAGTTACATAAAAATGCGATAGAAATCGGTTTTTCGGGATTTAATATTACCACCTATGTCCCGCGTATATGAGGCCGTTTCGTCGTGAAAGGGTAATAATCAGATAGACAGACACATGTATTTATAACATTAGTACTGTGTTAAAATGAATATTACTTTAATAAAACTCTCTAAACAGCAAAGGTTTTCGATCTTCTGTTTAAAAGAATAAAGGTCATATGACATGCCTACATTGCTGTATACCTAGGTACATACATATTTATGGATAGATACTTATGCATATATATAGATACACATAAAAATGTACGTACCACTAAATAATATTTATTTTTTAATTGTAGGCACCATAAACTCTATCTACCAGCAATCATTTCCAAAGGTACTCTTGACCATTATATTCATTTAATAGAGCCCCTCACAATCTGCTCTCATAATAATGACGTAATACCGTTATACAATTCTAGTAACATGTAGGTACAGTCAACCACATACGTATCATGGCATCAAGAATTATTAATATTATCTTAGAGGACTCAAATTCAATGTTATATCGGTCGGTACACATCAGAGTAATCAAATAATATATGTGTACAGCATTTACATATAAAATTAAGGCTTTGGAATGAATACTGCTTTTCTAAGCTGTCATTAATTTATGTTATATTGGACATAAAATTTAAGATTTGTTGTAATAAATTGAATAACATGAAAATATTTCCTGATAACTACTAGTTATTAAATGGTCTGCCACTTTCATATATTTATTATTTTACGGATACGACTGTACCTATATTGTACATATAGTTTGGTTAGGTTAGGTTAGGTTTCAAGTACATGTATACAAGCGAAAGGGAAATGTCTGGTATCGTAGATGGTCCTTTCACCCGATGATCTAAAGACCACACCTTAATTTGCCAAACTAAAATAATTCTTATAATTTAGATTGGTAAAGTTAATATGGAATTGTAGTGAGCGCGAGAACTTTTCGAAAGCTTCATTTGGTTTTTATTTGTTTATTATAACATCATTACAGAAAATCCTAATCAGAATTCATGAAATTAAATCAGTTCATGGAATGAACAGTAGGTGCAGATAGATATCTATATATTAAACTTATCAAATCAGATCTAAATATCTTTATTCATGTAGGTCTATTACAGACTCATATGATAAGTCAAATCTACCGTCAGTTGAGTGCTTTCGAGCTAAGAAGAACTGACAAGAAGCTAACCTTTTATTTTTTTCAAATGAGTTTAGGTATGACTACAGAAATACAGGAATATAGTTAAAAAACCTTTGCCATCGTATTCAGTATTTTTACTGGAATGAGATATAGTATCATGGCACCTCTCTCGCAGGAAGACAAGCTACAAAACTAGATTAGCGACACAATTGGATGAGACAGGTCTACCAGGCGACTTATGTAAAGTAAAGTGTTACTGGTAAAGTTTAGTAACTGAGAAAGAAGGTGTTTCGTTTTTTTATTAAGAGCTGAGACCTGTAACACTGTCTTATTTCGAAGTTCGCTACCTAGACCCGCCATGGAGAATAATTGAAATATATTCTTAGGAGCGTTGGTTTTTATTTCGTAGGATAAAGTGTATAGTGTAGGATAAAATGCCTGAGTGGGTTAAAACCGCATAGGATGTGTAGTGGCGTTTCCTCTTCAGCTTGGCAAAATATGCATTGCCAAGCTGAAGAGCCACGCCACTGACTGTTAAACTCTAAAGTACCTATATATTTTATTTCACAGTTTTAACTTTATCTATTTCATCTCCATTGAATTTAATGATAAAAAATATGGTAATTAACTTTTTACGTCTATTATTAATAGCATTAATAGCAAAACAACGTGCGCGGTTTATAATTGATCTATTTGTTTACATGCGCATATTATATGTAAGTTTATTTACGTCCGTTGTATATTGCACAAACTGAATAGAACTAGATGAGTATATGAAAAGAACTGGTTTAGAACAAATAAATAACTTAAGTTGTTTAGTTTTTATTTATTCGCAACATCAAGAATAAATAACTCAACTTTTTTATTCATGCAAGATTTAAATATAATTATAGACGTTTTATTTTTTCTACGATTAATAAGATCTTGGATCTTGGAATCTTAGTCAATAAAAAACATAGGTAGCCGTAGTACTGTGAGATGGAAATCGTCAATTTGTTATTTGATGTCACCACTGGCCGTGAATAATGTTACGATTATTTTTTCGATATTGCCATTCTTTTGCAAAATCACTATATTTGCCAAATAATGCTAAAATTTAAATTGGCTATTATACTACACTGTGGTAGCTAGCTAGCTAGCTATGTGGCTAGTATGTGCACATATGGATACGTACATAGTTACGTATCTGGCGTTATGTGTTACAACGACAGTAATATCTCGTATCGTTATAAAAATAATGATGCTAAAATTATGTGTGACTATACAACTTGTATGTGTGGCGAAACAAGTTATATTTATAACTTAAAAATAAACCCATAAACTTCTTATTTGTTCATTAATTTTTCTCAAATGACAATCAATATTGTAAACAGATTAGAAAAGAATGTTGCATTCAAATGAATCATCCGACTGTAGTAAATTAAAATAATTATATATTACTCTAATAGTCAAACAATGGATCAAATACTTGCTCTACTTTTATTCTATTAATATTAGAAAGTAATAAAACAAATTACGAAAATGAAAAGAAAAATCATAACTAAATAGTTATTGTATGCAAAAAAATGGTTAAAATAATTAAAATTACTTCTACTAATCATTACAAGTAATAGCTGTGACGCAAATTTATTGTCAGTATTATTATTAAAATTTATATGATATTATCACCCTATCTGTGGTTGTAGTGATATCATATACTAGTTTTAAATGAATATATAAATTGTAGTGTTGTTTAAAAGGGGTCTGCATAGGCGGACCAGCCCCATCAGGGTTGCGAAAGATTGCTCGCGCAATCCCGTAACTCTGACAAAAGGTAAAGACAAGGAACACCTTGGGATTTTTAGCCGGTAAGAGTCCAGCAGTACCCGTATACCTCACCCGGGGCAGGCGAATTTTCCCATTCTCTATGAGGATTTATCCCGAGTTAAAAAAAGGTATACTTGGCACAAAATTTACAATATAAATGCAAAAATAATAAACAAATTATTTGTATGCAAAATATAGAATGATAAATTGAACAAAAACATCTGATTGGATGAAGATCCAGACGCTTTCATGTTTCCACTTTCACTTGAGCAACTTGCTATTAACTTGAAAGTAGTTCTTATTTTTGTTTATTCTTTTATTTTTTATAGACAAGATAAATATTCACCGCATATGACTACGAAACGAATGAATTGCTGTTCAAATATTATGAATTTGCATCGCTATCTCAAAAGAATTTAGGTTTTTAACAATAAATACCACCCTGATTATTGTGTTTAATATAGTTTTTTCTGACTGCTCTGAACTACTTAATTATCAAAATAAAAATAGTGAATAAATAATTTACGTCTTTATTTTTTTTCAAAAGTTTGTCGAATCATTTTGAGATATTTATATTTTTCATGGCTACTTTGATGTTTAATTCTTCTTTCATAACTACTTTGATTATAAATTGTCTTGATACATAATAATTAAAACTTATAATTTACAGTATAATAAAATAATCCAAAAAGAGTATTGGAAAACAAGTGATAACAATATGATGAAGATAGTGATGAAGCGTGCAAGTGATAATCTAATCGACCCCAATAAATTCCACAAAAATGTTATAGTCAGTTACGTTTGCAATGTCATTACAGCTAAAATTTATAGACAATGCAAAGCGTTATAACAGCCCTTACAATTTCCTTTTCAAAGGTTTCTGCTATGTAGCAGAAATAAATATCTCTATATAATATTGTATTTATCTATAGAATAGTGATCGGTAACATACCATGCAATGAGCAATGTAATCACAGCTCTTATAGATATAATAATATATTAAAACTAGACTACTCTTTTTAATTACTTCTAACCATGAAATATATAAATTGTGGACAAAATACCTTATACAATTTTCTTTTACGTACAAAGTCTACCAATACAAAGTTAACTTTAGATCCATACCTTCCAATTGTAATAAACTCAAATAGGGTAGCAAAGGTATTGTCAACTACCGACATTGTGGTTAACCTGACATGCCATGATTTTCGTGAAAGAGTACATTTTCTGTATTTAAAACCATTATTTTATGGATAAAGAATATTGTAGAATCTAAATTTGAACATGTTATCTACGTTACTGTAATAAAAATAAATGTACTATAAATAGAGTTACATTGATTCCGAATTCAATGTAGACCACATTCACGAAAAGCGTTTAAATTCAAGATTAGTATTATGTACTGTTAGACCCATTTTTGGATGTGCACTTAGCTTAATTCATTCAAAAGACAACACTCAATAAACATCGTCAACATAAAGAATCAAACTTGTCATAACCAAAGTGATTCTGGAAGTATGTGAAAACGATAAAAAAAAACAACAAATCAGTGCTCAATTGTAATGCCATTGCCATAAATATCCATGCCCAGGCAAACGCTTACCGGCCTGAGTCGGTCTAGGAGCTGGCCCACCCTGACGCCCTGATTGCTGGGCTTCCTCTACATCTGTAATCATAGACTATACGTCACACTTGCTTTTTTTTAAATTATGTATATTAATAGAACATAATATTTAAAAAAATCTATTAGGTACTAAATATCAGTGTTGGGAAATGAAACTGAACCATTCTTGCATCATATCATGAATTCTGTAATAAAAAGTCGTTACTGTATTAAAATGTAATAGTGATGATGACTAATACATTTATGTTTTATTTGTGTTATGCCATTTTTAAATGTTTCTTCGAATGTTTTCTTTACGTGAGCCTGAAATAATAACGTGTCATATCTAAAACTATTCTAAAATATCAAGCAGATTACGAAACTACAAACGCTCGAACAAAGTCGTCCTTTATTAAGAGAGGAGTTCCTTTTATCTTCTAGTTTGGAATCCTATAAAGATAACATAAGTTCAGTAGAGCATAGTTTTTTAACTACACTACTTTAATAACTGTCTAAATAACAAAGAATAAATACCTAAGAAGGTAGTACCTACAATGTTTGAGAATTCAACCATTATGACAATAACATTAACAATATATTGTTGTGAGATGTATACATATAACTATAAATATTAAACAGTACCGCGTTTTACAACTAAGGAATTAGTTGCGGTCCTATATTTCATAACTAGAACAAAGAAAATATGCGTCACAGTTATGTCACGAACAATACTTAGTATTCAAGGTTTTAGACTGATATTCCATAGCATCAGGGTTTTATAGATACAGTAATTCTATTTATTATATACAGATATGTAATAACTATTTATGTAGAACAGAAACATTTCAATATATGTGTATATGACGTCATTCTTTTCAAATATATTGATACTATTTCGTTTATTGTGTACTGTGTATATAGTATTGCATATACATTGTGTATGTATACAAAAAAATGTCCCAAACCTTACAAAAGGTGTTACTATCAAAATTTTCTATAATAACTAGTAAAACTCTAAGAAATTTTGTTCTTAGTAGGCAACTACTATCAACTTTTCACACTAGTCAGATTTTCTTTACGCATGTTTGTTTTAGAAGTACACTTAAAAAATGACAATATGTGATGAAAAGTAGATTTTCACAAAAAAAAAAGACTTATCCTTAGTTCATCCGTACTAATAATGCGAGGCAGTATAAGATATTTAAAATTTTGCAAACCACAAGTCTCTGAATAGAAATAGAATGAATACTAAAGAATACCTACATCATTATTTCATCGCACGCACAGACCTTTTAAACATTTCTATCACTTGTTTAGTACACATACCAAATACCCTGATAAGCTTGGGATTAGATGGTACTATGTAAATTTTCGTAAGTTATCATTTATTTGTTATTTGCCATTCTGGTGATTATACAATTAACAATTTATCTAAATCCTCTTTTAAAATATTACTACATATATATACGATACATAAATACATTAAATTAAATCTCTAGAAAATTAACACAGCGTTATCTAGTCCCATGGTAAGGAAAGCTTGTGTTATGGGTACTAGACAAATGATACTAACAATCATACTCAAGAATACAAATATTTCCACCGTACAAAGAATCGAACCCGAGACCATCGACAGTAAAGCGGTGAGCTCAATCGCTAGACCACCGAGGCTGTCAACGTCAACATTGAATGAAAATATCGAGGTCTAATAGTTTAAAGTTCGACTCCAAAAGGAGTACCAAATGATAGTTCGATAAATTATTAGCAAAATCGTTACAGTAATTGCATTTTTTTATTGCCCATCTCAAATGGAAACCGCAAAGGTTGTATACATAATTAGATATGATGTTCGCCCACACAATACACAAATTATTGACATGTAATTTATTTGTAATATCCGAGGTACCTGTCAAAAGTTGTTATATAAGCTTTGAGGTTTTATAGATAGATGTAGTTACAATTGTAACCTATATTGTAAACTGAGTAAGGGTGTATCTGATATGTATTGACAGAATTCCGTATCTGTATTAAAAGTTCTTAATTTTTTTAATTTTATTTCTTATAAATATTAATCGTAATTGTTCAGACGGCTTCGGTAGTCTAGCGGTTTAGCACACCGATTTACTTCCGATGATGGTGTATTCGTTTTTTCGCACGGTACAAACATTTGTATTCATAAATATGTTTATTTGGGTGTTTTCTATGTACATATATTATGTATGTATTTACGAAAAATATATATTTATTTCTATCAGTTGCCTAGTAGTATAATCTCTGCCTAATTTGGGACTTTGGCGCTTTGTGAATTTTCCAGGGGGTATTATTATATTATCATGACTAATCATACCGTACCAATAAGATGATTCAGAATTCCGAAACAAAAAGGTGTAATCTTCTTTTTTACAGGAGATCTTCCTTCCTTCGCATTGAAGTGTTTGTTTTGGAAATTAAAGTATATTTTTATTAATTATATAAATTGTAATAAAAATATGGAGAGTTAACGTGCAAAATTTATAATACTAATAATTGAGGAACACCATTGTATAGGTTCATCTAAAATGGCGTCTTTATTTATACACTACAGAACCCTGAAATTGTTGCGCCAAATGATTAGTTAAATTACTATAACTGTTTCGGTGATTAACTGTTGGAACCAGTTTTATTCAACTTGGCAAAAACATCAAAGATATCTATTTGGGTACAACTCCATCATTAGCTATGTTTAATTGTATAACAGCGGTTTGTTTGTTCCCCTATAATAAGATATTGTTAAAATAATTGTTACCCAACTATATAAGAAAAGAGAGTAATGTTTTTCAGGAGTATTTTGTTATGTAACTGGAACGGCACACAGGATGGCGGGCCATGTAATGGTAAACGGTAATCACCGTCTATTTTTTTATACCTACGGTGACAATCAAGTATAGGGTCCATTTGATAGTAAAAACCAATATACAAGAAGAGCACTACGTTATCAATTGACATTCGTGAATGATACCATACTTTACCATTTCAGAGGACTTAGATGCATCTTATCCTGTAATTTGTAGGTTTATGATTTCATCCGTTTTTTATGCAATGTGTGGCTTACTTGGTGTATTTTAAAATATAGCAAATTCACCGTTTATTTATATAGATCTAATACATACAAGAGTATAATGTTCTATACCAAACTTATAATATAATTGTTGCCAGTTTATTGCAGTATTATTTTAAAGACCAACATGCCAGACACATCGTCCTTAACTAGAGTTTATTTTAATTTAGTTGAGAAAATATAAGGGATACTAATAACTATAGTTTTATACGCTTAAAAAATAGAAATTAAAAAAATATTAAAACGTAATGGAATGTAATACCTATATGTTTTGAGTTAGATAATTAGTTAAGATTAAAGTAGATGCTCAAACCAAAAATTCTTTACAGTATTTATACCTAAATAGAAAATTCGTAAACACCTGAAACAAATTATATGTACCTATGTACTACATGTACAAAGGTACATATATTTGTTATATATTGTATATATACAATGTACCTACCTATCGCTCACGTGCTCATATCAGAAAAATAGGAAGTTACTAAACCTCATTAGCGAGTTGTGTTGATAAGAATTATGCGACCAACAAAAACTTACAATATTTATAGAAATAAAAATTTATATTATATTAAGGAAATAGGTATGCAATGAACAAATATTACAACGTTACATTCCGGGTAATTAATCATCGACGAAATTAAGTTACTGTTGCTCGTTAAAAATACAACAATATATAAACAATTTTAATAACTTATATTAAAGGTGTTTATGTATTTTTGTATGATGACTATTAAGTTTATTTAAAAAATATGTATGAAGAGAAATAATTGTGTAACTTCCTTCCTTAGCACAGTTTTTTTCTGTATATTGATATCTCACTATTAATTTGTAGGTAAATAATATACTTATTAGTGCGTACAATAATATTGTCTAACTCAGCAGTGTTGTAGTGTATTGAAAAAATATTCTTTATTGTAGTTCCAATATGTATGGTCATTAATAATAATTTATAAATAAAAACATAATTAAAATGTTACACAAAAATATGGCTATGAAGACATTCGTTTTATGATTTCTTTCAAAGATCAAGAAAGTAAGGTAAGAAGTCAACTGACTATTTCTCTAATAGAGAATCTATTAACTACTTACCTTACTGTATAGGAAGGGACGGAAGTCACTTTTAGAGACTACAGCATGGGGTTTCTCAAAAAGTATATATGTAAAGGTTTTTAAATGTCATCAATGCACACGTACACCCCTGGTGTTTCAGGCGTCCATATGCTGCGGTAACTATTTACCATCAGATGGGCCGTAGACATAATTCACCTTTCGTGATATAAAAAAAAACAATAGGAAATGTATGGGATTAAAACTTGTGTAATTAAATAAATTTATAAATAAATGTGTAAACAAATATGTACTTAACTATATACAATACATTAATCTGTTCATTCATTTATTCGTCAGTGCCATATTTTTACATAATAATTATTCCAATGATGTTATTTATTAGTAATTAATATTATTGTATTGATGACCACATAGAAGTAAATAATTGGAATATACAATAGATTACCTGCTGTCATTATTATTGATTAAATATGAACATTAGTTATCGACAGGTTACTTCGCTGTTTACAGTACAGACAGATGAGTTTCGAAGTTCCTTTATAATATGTTTGATTAAAATTATTATAACATCACAATAAAAAAGATATACATACACATGCGGACTTACCTAAATAGATTCAGTATCATAGTGTTACTATTCTACATCTAGTTACTATGGAATTGGATTTCAGGAAATCATTTTTCAAACAGTGTCTCCAAAATTATCCGAGACCCAAATATAAGCTACTATGTTCAACCCCAAATCTAGATTACTTGAATCCTGAGTAAATAAAAAATAAGAGATTTCCACTTAATTATCCAAATTTTAATAATCTGTCTTTTTTATCTAGAAAATTAATAAAGAGTCAGATTTTACCTTTAAATGTGAATGATTAAAATTTGCCTGTTCCTTTTGCTCATATTTATTAAAAATAAATTTTGAAATGATATATATATATATATATAAATATATATGTATAAAATTAAGATTGGTCCGTATATCATTTTTTACTGTTCTGTGTCAAGTTTGTTTTAAGTCAGTTGTAATGATTTGTTACTACTTTATGCTATAAATTAGTAGCAGTGAATGTGCGTAAATTATTTGCTTTCTGGCCAACGCCTGTTATACCATATTAATTACAGTACAAAGACCAGTATAAAGGTGTGTCCGTTCAATTTCTTTAATGGACTTTAGCGGATGGGTGTGAAATAAAGGTTATTAAGTTATGTTACATTTGATAAATGTTACCCAATGTCGTAATAAATTATAAATATTCAAACATGGTTGATATTTTGAATCTAAACATTGACAAATAGGTCACGGGCATACGTACCTAATAGTATTAGATGCAGAAGATTAGGTCATTTAATTTTTTAACGAAAATACCCACAAGCTTTTAAATTCTTTGTTACTTATTTGCAATTTCGCAAAATGACAACATTGAAACATAAACGCATTATAAATACGTGAAACGTACAAGAAAAAAATATATGAATGTTGATTATTAAACACACTTAATTGTGCTTAATACAAACAAATTATTCGGTAAAAATACCTTTAAATGACAACGTAATAGGTATTGTCTACGTGTACGTATATATATGTATGTTACAAAAATTCGTTTTGAAAATAGAATATTTCAGATATAAATGTAAATTTTATTCTATTCTAAGTCCTTGCTTATTTGTCTACATCTACATATATATACACACGTTTATAAAATTCAGACAATTTTGGATATTTTTCTCCTCTATCGGATAGTATAATACATTAAATAGATTTGTCTAGATTATACTCTGTACCTTCCATTATAATATTGCGTATCTCGTCGTACATTCAATGTGCTCAAACTGACAGTATACTATTTGTCAAGTCGACAAGTCGCTCTTACACTGGCTACATTACAAATGTCGGCTAACCTTATTCCACAAATAATTTAATGATCGTTGTAAAATATACTATCTGCTTTTAAACATGGTAAATATATGTAAGTACCTACCGACTTTGAAACTACATACTTTAATATACTAATCAGTAGCTGCAAATTAAATAGCATTTTTTTTATCGAATACGTCTGTATGCTTGAGAAAATGAAGCTAAAGTTGTGTAGCGAATGTGATAAAACGCATAGAGGTGACTATATAATTACCACATGTGTTGTTTATTATTATATGCAAATATCTGTATAATGCCAATTGGATTCCTACTACCGGACTGTAAAATTACATGAAATTACATTGAGAACTGCAAACTTTTCATTCACTTCAAGATTTAAAATATTCATGAACAATTAAAAAGCAAAGACGGACCTAACATACTCACTATCGTGATCCTAAACTCTTTAATAAGCAAAGAGAAAAAATACATATTTATGGATAAAAACATACTGTAACATTTGCGTATACCGGACTGAATAAAAAATATCGTACAAGAACCAATGTAGAGATGCATATGTAATCTTTTTACCCAAGATTATAATCATGCTACTAAGACCTATACTCATGCTGGTATCTTACCAGGAACCCTGGGTATGCCCGAGGCGACTACTGGGCCATCCACTATCCTTGGATAAACTTCGCTTAATATATTGACACTCGAATCTCCAGGGTTACTTAGGAATCTCGCGTAACACAAGTAAGAATGAACTGTAAATAAAAATGTAATATAGTAATGTAGTAAATAATAACTGAGTCATAGTCCTCCGGAAGAGCAATACATAAGGGCTATATGATAATATATTATAATATAACGCTTTTCATGTATGTAGGTTACTATTTGGGGCTGCAGCTTGCGATTACAGTTAAAAAAAATAAGCTTTACTAAATAATTGTAGCCACATTACAAAGTTAACCTCTTTTCCTTCATCTGTTTTTGTTACTAAAGACTATACCCACCGGAAATCACATTATACTCCATATATATATAAATTCATACTTTAAACCATGAATTTTTATTAATATAGGATTAACAAAGTAAATAGATATGTAGCTTCGAAATTCGAATTATAATTTATCAATTTATTTGTACGTATCATCATATCATTACATAAAGTTACAATGATACATATGCAACGAATTCTGTACGCTTATCTAATCGTTTCTTTTACAGTCTAATTCGCTACAGTCGACCAGTAGTCAGTTATGACTTGATTACTGACAAGCGTGGCAGTCACTCAACCACACAGATTATGTCGTTTGGCTTGTAAATAGTGTATTGTTGAAGATGACATGCACTATTATGTGGCATACAAAAATAAATAGTTGTCAACTTTAGTGACGAAATTGGAATAAAATTGGATAGATTAAACATTTGTTCATCAAGACTAGACAAAGTCACGAAAAACTGATTGCATTTTGTGATGGACAGTTTATGACCATTTTAATTATGTTTTGTTGTCTGCAATAAATATGTCTACTAATATTGTAAAGCTAAATAATTTGTCTGGTTTATTTAGTTAAACGCATTAAACTCAGATGAAATCTAATAGTTAGGTTGAATAGAAAAAATATTTTAGTACGTATGTATATAAATAATAAACTAACCAATAATTCATTTCATCGAAAAAAGCTATATAGTCTAAATAACACGATGTTATGACCAATGAAGAGAAAAACGAGGAAAATGTGAGAGAAAAGCATTCGAAATTGCTCAGGTCGACAAGTCTTGTAGGCAATAAAGCCTGTATTGTAAATGAGAGTGCACGTTCCATGTTATCCACATCATATTGAAGTTATTTGCCGGTTTATATAATAGCTTAGAAAAAACCCAGTCGCCCTCTGACTGAAAATAACTAATTGCTTTACTACCCTGACTTTGTATCTCAACGATAATTTCTGAGTAACTCTCCGATAGTTGTAAATATCTAAATAAAACAAAATAAATTAATCCGAGAGACAGCTGTAACCTTACACGCTCTCATAATGGCCATTTAAATATTTTCCGCAAATTGCAGGCGTGGTCGCACTGTAAATATACAACAACCGTTTACAAATGCCTGTCACTATCCCATCTGGAATTATAATCGTGAAATTATTATATTACATTAATAACAATTGTAACAATTTTGATGATATTACTATTTATCGAACAGCCGATTGGCCACGCAAGTGCTTTCTGTTTTGATAATAAACTTTAGTAGATGACATAAAAAAAGATTAAAGTATTTATTACGTAGACTAATTAAAGCAACCTGGTATTCTTAATCTAATCGCATTAGGACGTCAATTTTTAGATAAATTAAGTATGACAGTACTATGTACTTTAAATACTACGATAGAATTAAGTACCTGTACGAACATTTATAGCAATGCAACCCTAAATACTTTTTTTTATCTTTTCATTTCAACAATCTTTATGAATTATTTCAAAAAGTATGTGTATTTATTGCTCTGTCTATAACCTGTAACTAGTACTTAGTAACTCATGCTCAATCAGTCGTGCGTCAGTTCGAATTATAAAAAAAACAATATTAATTAATATATCCTTTTTCAAGCGTCTATCTTTAGTTAAAAGAACTTCACAATACTCTCCAATAGAGTAAATTAATTACTAACATATTTTTATTGTTATCAATATGTAAGGTGATATGGTTGATTTAGTTTTACTTTTATAATGTAACTGTAAACAAGTGTAAACATGTTAGAATAGACTAACAGTAGTAATTTGTCTTGTGTTTAATTCAAAATATTGTAATCTTATCGAAGCATGTTTACTTACTCCAACGTCCTTTATACCAATCAGATGAATTTATACTATATAAGTTTAGATTAGTATCTACTGTATCAAATATAATATATTCATAGTAAATAAATTAAACTAGAAATTACTATTACATAAAATAGTTATCACGTGTCGTCAAATCAAATAATATTGATAAACAATAAATAATTGATATTATTATATTAAATAAGTCCATTAAATTATCAACCTTTATTACCTACCTATGTACTATGGGTAATAATAATTGTTTGATAAATATAAATCTAAAGGGAAGATTAGATTTGAATTATCTGTCCGTTTATTTACTAATACTATATAAGCAAAAATGTGTCTGTCTATCTAATTGCCACGTTTTCGAGACTACAATTTAATTTACTTTATATATTCACAATTGTCATATATATATATATATATATATAAATGTAGTATGTAATATACGTATAGTATTATATAAAGTTATGACAAAGTGGCATTAGTCCATGGACATTAGTAATTACATTTTTCCCATAGTTCTGAGAATAATAGCCGCTTGGTAACGACATTTAGATTAATATATAATTACAAACAAATTGAATTATTTTAAATACCTATTTCTAATACAATAATACGTTAAAGTAGGGCAGTCGCATACTAAAATAATTAGTAACATTATACTAAAATTAATTAAGTTTAAAATATTGCAATCAGTAGAGGTATTTTAAAACTTCAATAACAAAATTAAGCGAGTTTTAGTCGTTCGAAATTGAAATTATCATTAGTATTATATGATCAAAATATATTATTGCTAGCCAGTATTATATGTGACACTTTGAAATTAGAATTTGGAGTTTTGCAGCAAAAGAATAAAAGTTTAACTAAATTCGGATATTTATGTTATTTGTTAGTTGTCGACAATTTCACATACAGACTTTGATCACCCGTGTTTCCTATTGACGTGGAAATAATAGTAAAATAATTCTTCATAAGTAAATCTGATTATGTTCGTTTCTACAGCATTGATTTAGTTGAATAATCTAATATCAACATGTTTGTTAGGTACATATTGCTTATAAGACAAAACATCCTAAACGAGAAAGAAAACAAAAATTCTACTTTATCAAGAATACACATATAGTATGTAGTAATGTGACCCTCTGTACTGATTACACGATTATTTTATTATAATCTAAAGGTGTACCATATCATTAAGATAAAATAAATTTAAAAATATGTAATGATAATCAATTAACACAATTATAGGCATAAATAGATAGTAGATAGTAATTTAATTAAATTATTAGTTTATAAACTATTATGATAGTTATTTATATATAGATGATGGTTACTGCAATGCATGTAACTTTGGACTCTCTTGGTAAATATCTTACATATAATAACATAGCACTATCTCGTTCCAACATAGGCAAAACTCCATGCACTAAACTCAGAAACTGATCATCATTTTTTAATACATATTACATAATATATAGAAAACAACCAGAATAATAGAAAAAAATCAGGAATCAGGAATACAATGTTTGTACCGAGCGAGGAATCAAGCACGTGATCATTAGAAGTAAAGCAGTGTGCTAAACCACTAGACCTACAGGGAAGTCAATGTATGTAAACTTCATTCAATAAAAGTGTTGTTATATTCAAAAACAGAAGAGTCGCAATGGGTCTGCATTTCTTGTAAATGTTATGTAGGTACATTCTGATATCTTCGCTAATTCAACAATATCTTGATTATTTGTTTTGTTATCAATAGGATTTAGACTTCCTTGTCTATCTTTCCAGTTTCAGAGGTTTATAATTCGAAGGTTAATTTTTTTTTATTTTACCTTTTTAAATAATATTACCATAATAAATATCCCAGTTATATAAAATGTTACACATGTTACCTCTGAAGTTATTTCTATGTGAATCAATTTTATTGTCTTTTTTTAAAGAAAAGAAGGACCACCTTTGTGGTTCCGTGTCGATTGTGGTGTGGTGTTGTTATAATTATTATTATATTAATAAGTACCAATATCTTTTTGACTTATCCCTAACAATATGATTGTAGTCTTTTTTACGTGGTATGAACAAGGTATTAATTTAGAAACAAAATCAATCTACTTATTACGTACGTTACATATCGCGTGGTCACTGAATCAATTATCACTGTATGCAGGTTATTGATTGCATTTCAAGAGTATATACAACAGGCCATATGTTTGCTTTGATGAAGCACTTTTAAAAGTGAATTTTTATAATAGTGTCACTGCGCTCAGAACATAGATGTAATATGCTATATATAATTATAAAGCTCTTAAAGAATTGGTAATTATGGGAACTACAATAATATTATAACATAATGTGTCTGCCATGATGGATTAACTAATCTTCATACTCATCCTATCATCTTTTACTAGTCTGTCATCTGTTTCTCGTCAGCTTATACCGTTGGCGCAGGTAGGTGCATTATGTCATTATCGTTCACTAAACAATAATATACCCACATAATCATATCATACTAGTTAATCTAATAACAAACCCAGAGACTCTTATTTTTTTATATAAAAAAGTATTCATAAATAAAAAAGTTTGTATTATATTAAGCAGAACTACTGACCAGTATCCATATCCACCTAAGGTTTTTAAACCGCTACACCAATATAAGTACTAAAATATATTTTTTTTTATTAGCAAATAAGCTTAGGTAAAATTATTATTACATGCAAGTATTTAATTAAAATATTTGTGAGTAACTGCATCAATAGTTACAATAATTACTATGTTTACCAGCATATTGTTTACGTGTAATATTAATTAACTCCGATCTAATTGAATATTAAATATTTTAATCAAGTTATTGCCAACATTTACATAGGTATTTACTATATATATATATACCTACTAGTATTAATAAACGTTTAAAGTTGTAACGATGGTTTTTAGATGTGTAACTCTGGACAATTCACACAGTGACATCCAGTCTCAGCTTAATCAATATAACTAATGTTGAACTATTATAAGGATATATTTAATTACTTTTTTCTTAATATACTAAAAAATATACCCAGACTGAATACAAACAATCAAACTTATGAATACAAATCTTTACCGGCGAGGAATCAAGTTTGCGACCATCGTAAATTATGCTGTGTGATATACCGCTAGATATAAAGTCCAGTACATTGTAGATACATAATACTTTTTATATGAATACACGCACGCAATGTCACGAGATGCAGCCAGTAATTAATTAATTATTAAAAGGTTTTATTTCCTTGTAAAGTTATGCCATTTATTTGTTTGAGCAATAGAAGAAAAACTAAGGAACAACATAAGTACTACTGTACATATTATATCAATATAACATAAAGTAATGGTTCTATTGTGTTTTTAGGTTTTTATTTTACGCTCGACATTTGAATTTATACAAAGTCTACCACGGTAAATAAATATTGGAATTGAGTGTCCAAAAGTCGATTGTGAATTGATTGATCGATTCGGACTATTGTTACACTATAGATAGAGATACGAGAGATAGAGAGCTCATGAGTCATATCAATGTTCAACATGAGGTTGCTAGAAAAGACCATTGTCCATTTTAAAGATCGTTTACCCGAAATACAATACTAATTAATTTCACTATACAGTATATAAAAATATATCATCACGACCATTATCTCAGATAAGATATTTAGAGACATTATTATTTATAGACATCTTGCCGAACTTTTTATGAGTATATTTGATCAAGCGTGGAAAGGAGCGAATCTACAGCCGCGCCGTTTCCCGGATTATTTATGTTTTTATGTGGGTAATTGTTTCTATGATCGGAGTTTAATCATCTTTTATTAATCATATTTCATGTAATCATTTTCTTAAATATCACGAATTTGTTAAATATAACAATCATGGTTAAACCTTACCATCACTAAGTATAGGACCTATCTTTACTCTATATCGGTGTTTCCCAATTAGAGTTACGCGTATCCCCAGGGGTACGTGAAGTTGCGTCGAGGGGTAGGTACGGCTATCAGTAAAACAAACATACACACACTTACAAACTTTCACATTTATAATATTAGTGTAATTGCTACAATTAGGGGTACGCACGGTTTGAGGTCTTTTTTGAAGTGGTACGCAGCAAAAACTATTTGGGAACCACTGCTCTTCATAAAGACTGATTATGGGTTAATAGAATTTCCATATCATGTACTAATTTATTAGTGCTCTACGTACTGCTTACGATGCCTTAGTGATGAATAGGTGTATGTTCTTATTTTTTTATTAATATCTTTTTTTGATTAATATTAATAAGGATTAATATCCCTATGTTCAAGTACCTAAGATCGCCTTTTCGTTGTTAAAAATCACGCGCGTATGTTTCTTTTTTGTAGATTTTGTAGAATAGACTTATATGTACTTAACTATAATTTTCTTATTATAGATGCTACTATAGTAATGTATCATTTTTAATGTTCATGTTATATAACAATAACTTTGTTGACTCAAGTTACTTAGTTGTTAATTAGATGGATGGGTTTAATGATTTGATTAAGTGTAATAAATTATACTTTATGTTCATGATGTATTACACCTACTACCATATATAGATATAATTAAGTAGATAATAGACAGTTTAAATGTTACATCTAGTTACTTTATACATAAAGAATTAGGTATAATTGATGTATATTTCAGATTTTAATTTCAGAATCCAGACTGATATAATTTTATGAAGATTGTTTATGAATTAAGAAATATTTTTTATTAGATATTTTTAACTTACATCGTAATTATTGTTTGTTACATAAAATTTGTCAGTTTCATAAAAATATAAAAATCCACGACTTATGCAAGTGTAAATTACAATTGAGATTAGATTAAAAATATTTTATTTAGTATACAGGTAAAATATTTTTTTTATCTAATCTTAATTATAATTTACTAATGATTAAAATACCCACCTAATTGATTTTTTATCTCTTTCACACATACATAAACGAACATTGCTTTAAATTAGATTAAATAAAGGTCTGATAACTTATCTAATTTGTTTTTTTTTAATTCACCTAATTAGAATATTTACAATATGTGATAATGTAATGTACATTGTTACGTAAAAGGTACAATTATAAATAATAAATTCTAGTCAGCATTTAAAATGTAAAAATAAAACAGAACTCATTCACAACGAAAACTGAAAAACTATCAATTATTCTTAGGGAAAGTAGAATTCGTTAAGAAAAACTTTTTGTTAAATCTCATATATAGTAGAGATAGACTAAAGAACACGTACCACGCAGATTAACAAAAGAGTATTGGTATAGTAAATATAAAAATATTTAATTATTTCTATAAAAACAAAATCATAAAAAAATATAATTTAATGATGATTATTTTACCACAATTACATGTAATAATTGTATATTTATTAACAAATTTAATTATTGCTGAGATTATATTAGCTAACGAAAAAAGTACATAACTGACCTGTATTCTTTGATGCCATAATGTATTCTTCTTATACACAGCAAAAGAACAGAATATACAGTAAATGACCACTCCGACACGGACTCGCGGTATCGTCTCGTAGGCTCTCGCTACGCTGAGTGCTACGAGCTCTGAACGCAAGTTATTTATAAACTTAATAATATAATTTTATCAACTAATGCACTGAAATTCATGCCAATTCGACTTTTTCGCGGCGCGTCCGAACCGCGCTATGTGCAAACTCAAAGTGATATTGTTCCCGTCGATTTTTGCAGGCAGGGTTCATGATAACGCGGTGTGACTGAATACGTATAAATCATTAATCTGTTGACGTTTATTGTTGCATCGAATTAGAAGCGGACATGTTTCGAAATTGTTTCTTTTTTAAGGGTAATAATGGAATAGTATAGCCGCCTGCATTAACGGTATACGCCGCCGGGACACAATGGAGGTTGGTAGGATAAGTAAAAATTTGGTTGAATTAGATCGGTATTTGACCAGGATAGTTTCCAGGGTGATCGGGTAGAGATCAACTATTAAAGGCAGTGTACGTGTCAATAAATATAGTTATTTGTAGGGATAATGTTTACATATATCCCTCACGCGATAACCACCTGTTGTAAGTAACAGTTGACCTCGTATATTCGTACTTATATGGATGTATAATTGTTTTTTCAGATCGTGTTTTGCAATTATTATTATTTTTTAATACATAAATAATGATTTATAAAATGTATATAAAAAATACCACGAAATTATTTAAATTATAAATATCTTGGATTATTTATTATCCCTTGTATTAAGTAACTAAATTAAAAAAAATCCATAATAAAAGCAATGGCTTCATCATAGGTTTCCTAGGGTAACTAGCTAATCAGTTATGTGAATATAATAAGATAATTACGCGAATATATTTTTTGTGTCTTTCCGATATTCGTCTTTCCGTTAGTCTCTGTTACAATCCTGATTATATATTACTGATCAACTAGAGATGGTGGCGGATATATGCTACATATATACAATTATTACAAGCGCACACATATTTCTATCTGCTTTCTTAGTGTTTTAATTCCTTTTTATTTCTTAATGTTTACTACCATCAAAACACTTTTGATAGACAAACGTATAACAGACTTCGACAGGTGACTAGAATGCTTGTAAGACCGAAGGTGCAAAATAGATCATACACAGATGAAATAGATACATTACACAGAAGTTTATATTAATTGTTTTTTTACCACAGTAGTGGTAATCTATCATATAACCCATTAGATGGTAAGCGGTTATCGTATCCTATGGACGTCAAACACGAGGTGTGTTACGTGGATATTGCCGACCCTTGAAATTCTTTACTTCGCCTTGCCAATGAAGATGTATTCAAGTTCAATATGCCATTGCACTTACCTTAATTAACTTTATATCTAATGTTCTGTTCTAATATTAAATCAACAAAAATCATTGCTTGTAAATATTACCTAAAACATAGATAAGATAGTAGTAATGGTAGTACCAACAGTCTAACAGTAGCAGGCACCTTATCATTTATTTATATGCATATAGTTTTTGTTATTTCAGTAGAGACTGGACCAAATTAGTGATTCCTAGAAAGTTCTCTGACCTCTTCGTCTTGATGCGCCAATAAGAACCTATGCAGTAAAAACGTCAGGTAATAACCATAATTATTTTCGAAAAAATAGGTAGAGATACTTTTTGCGCGGTTTAATTCGGATTTCCCAACTATTTTGGGAAAATCATCATTACAACGGTCGGCGCTTTTAAGTAGGTAAATATACCTATATTAAAAATAATGGAACAGGTTTATACGAGTAAACATGCATCATGTGATAAATTGATTTTATATATGACGTACCTCACAAATTATGGTTTAGATGCATTTAAGAATATATCATAAAAAACTTCCGTAGAGTAAATATTTTTGAGTTGAATTGACTCACTATATCAGTGTTATAGTTTGTTATTTATCCATGTTCATAATAGGATCCTTACTTATATATCAAGAACGAATATACCTCTCATTTTTCGATGACATCTTAATAATCAATAAGTTTTAATTTTTAAATATATTCAGTACAATTGGAAATCCTATCTTCTGTTTAAGATTTTTACATATTTTTTTGTAATTAGTTATACTATTGTCGTTGTATTGTAGTTGTTGTTGTATAATGATAGTGTAATATCACACATGAGTCTATTAGTTTCAGGTTGTATATTTAATCTAACTGCATTGTATATGTAATATGTTAAATTAAAAAAACACTTCACTTGGTAAATAAACTATATTATATTTACTATGGAAAGTATTTTTTTATCTAGTAATAACTATAGATATAGTCTTAGTTCTGGAATTCTGAGTTGAATGTTCTATTGTCACAGGACGGAGGTTATGTTATGTCAGCATACTCTATAATTACTAAGCATCCGTTCATCAGAAACGCATAAAAAACAAGCTGCTTACACAGACATTTGTGCAAATTCTACCTCAATAAATGTGAATGTAATAAATATAAGTCTATTGTTACACTAAACCTAAACGCAGGTATTCAAAAACTTATCAACCTGTCTTATTGATGAATTATTATCTTAAACGTTTAATAATCATGCTTTATCTATAAAACAATTTGACCATAAAACTACTATTACCTACATATTTTGTGCTTTCAAATTCAAATACCTATCTACGAGTACAACAATGTCATGGTATGACTTTTATCTATAAAATTGTATGCAAATGAATCATAAAAAATGTAATTAAGTCTGTAATCATTGTTATTACAGATATTATTTTTTTATTACCTAATAATATTAAGTGATGGCAGTTAATTACTATAAATTATATTTAATTTATTATACGAAGACATGTCTAGGTGCACTTATATAATCAAATAATGTAAGTATATAATAATAGTATAAGACAAGTCGTTTATTTATTTATTATCAGATGAAGTTCATTAATTGCCATTAAAATTGACTCAGTTTAGTTTTAAATGTCTCTATAAAAACATTCAATTTTAAAAGAAACTTATTTCTTGCACTCTCTAACAAACGTTGACTTAAGAATTGAGATTTTATCTAAATTCGACTGCATTATTATAGATAATTATTTTATATACACATATACGTCGATTTCGTCTGTAATTCTACACCGAATGCGTTAAATTATTTTTCCAATCAATAAGGTTTACCGTCATCTTGTTGATCGTATACTAATTTAAGTTCGTCATTGTAAAGTTTTATTCGAGCTAATAGCATTTTAAATAAAATATCATATTTATTGTTAATTTACTAATATATTTTGACAGTTTTTAATAATGAGTGGAGTCCGTAAGTCACAGTATTTAGACTAGGTACTTGTAGTAATGACTCATTCCATCATATTGCACAGAAGTTTTTTTTATGTTCTACACGGCAAAAAGCTCTTGTCTATCAATGGTACGATCGTTTAACAAAATAAACGACGGAAACTGTAATTACAAAGATGAGAGCATTACAGTTATGCTATCAAGTATTTTCCCTTACTACCTAGAAAATAAAGTTCAAAATATAGTTGTTAAAAGAAGTCCACATTAAAATTGCGCTCTCAAGAAAACAATTGGTTTTGATGTAGACATATTCATTAGAGGAAATCCGTAAACGATGTGTCTATTGTTTGATAATTAATTTTATGTCGGGATATGTTTGCATTTTGAATACAATTTCATGGTGGTTAACCCAACCAGAAGTGCTCTACTCGGTCTTTAAAAAAATATAAATGTTATTTATAGAACATATTTTAATTACGCTATATACTTATGGCCATCATTGTACGGTAAATAATATGGTTATTTACCATACTAATTTCACCGAGGAAGACCGCAGCTCGTGGCCAGATCAAAAGAGTCAGGAGTATTATAATAATTTTATGGAAAATTATAAAGCATCTTCATAGTACTGCATACATTTCACTCTAATTATATTGTCACGATAAAACTATAAGTAAATCATAAAATGTATAGAGAAAAGTGAATTTGATGCGACAATTTTTTTTTGTGTTAACCTACTTACTGTCACTTAGGAACGCATCCTACCATGGCGCATCCAGCTTAGGGCTTCGGTACAGTCCCGGCAAATACTTTATATTGTGACCTAACTTCTCAGAAACAACTTATAATTATTTACAAGAAATACATAACATCCTGTTTATTTCAATTGTTATGGATACGGTTACAAATGTATTATTTTAAAACTTTGTGGTAGTTTAAACAACTATTGTGGATACTGTAGATATGGATTGTGTTTTAATTAAATGTTAGGTCTATTGCTTAATAGTTGTAATAGTTTATTTACTATTGCTTCGAAGAGTAGGCCTATTTATATTTTAGATTTTTGAGTCTAGTAAGTTATATATATTAACATTACTAGTCTGTTTTTGGGTCAGAACTATCCCGTCCAAAGTTCTGAAAAGTCCCGTACTATTATATCACAGATGGGGTAACTGGTAAGCTGGTACCAGTATATATATTACCCAACAAGCAGGTGTTCCACCATTCCGTAATTATGTATTGTAGTTTTAATATGTATATATATATATATATATAGACTAATTGTACTGGTTACAATTAAGAATCATTTAATCGATTGGTATAATTTATATTAGCTTGCAGCTTGTATTATTTTCAAATAAATGGTGTACACGTTTACAATACGAGTAATATAGATTCATTTTTAAATATATATTTATAAATTATAATATTATGAAATATATTTTTGTACTAAGTATATATAATGAGATGCATAAAACGTAGATTAAATATACGTAGGTAAGTATTGTTTCAATTTGTTTATAAAATAAACAGTATGGTGTAATTAATATGGAATCTAAAAGGCATTAATATTCTCAACAGGAATCGACATAAGTGGTATTACCTTAATTAGATTATTAGAATCTTATAGGTGCCAATATGCATAATTGAATAGTATGTATTATTGATTAAGTAAATCCATTAATATTACAAGTAGATAGTTTATTAACGACTAAACGATCGATCCTAATAAAATTTGACATGAAGATAGACTGTATTACAAGTATACAGGATAGCTGTTATCACAAAGAAAAGTAGACGAAGCAACAGGTAATATTAGGTAACTTAGTACCCGTATTAATTTGTATATATAAATTTAAACCCAGTAATATTTTTATTTGTCTACAATCGGTCCAATCGGTTCAGTTCAAAGGCATACATCAGTATAAAAATCA